TACAGCTGGAGTGGGAGCCGTTTATTGTAGGACTGGAGGGGTATATATACATTACACACAGCTTATCTTAATTAACATAAACTAGATACAGCAGTCAATAAGGAATCTCCACACTTAATGGGTCGCTGGCATTACTTCACAAACCACTCCCTCTGCAAAATGCCAGGCGCCATCTTGACTTGTTTACAGACTCTAACAGATTATAAAATGCTAACTACATATTAGTCTTCTAGAAAATAATTCCATACCTGCACATCTCTATAAAACAGGTCTACATTTAAAGGTGAAGGCTTAGACACATATTTGGTGCATGTCTTACCACTGGTTTAGAAATCACTAACATACAAATTAAGTATGGAAAGTGATATGTACCATTTGTAGATTCAGAAGTCATTATAGCAAAGATCTTCATAAACTAGTCATCATGGCACACAACTGTAATTCTACCTACCCAGGACACTGAGGCAGGAAGACCACACGTTCAAGGTAAACCTGGACAATTTAGTGAGACCCATGTCAAAATAAAACTTAAAAAGGTTTGAGGATGTAGCTAAGGGGTAAAGTACTCCTGGATTCAATCCCCAATACCCTAGAAAATTCTTTGTATATAGTGAGATGTTAAAATCAATCTCTTTTAAATTCACTATTTATACTGAGTCCTCAAAAGGTCAGGGACAGCTGGTCATGGTGTCTCACGCCTATAATCCCAGTGATTGGGAGGCTGAGGTAGGAGGATCACAAGTTCAAAGCCAGCCTCAGCAATTTAGTGGGGTCCTAAGCAACTTAGTGACACCCTGTCTCAAAATTAAAAAATATACAAAGGGACTTGGGATGTGCTCAATGGGTAAGTGCCCCTGGGTTCAATCTCCATTATAAATAAATAAATAAATAAAAACAAAAGGTCAGGAACAGAGCAAATTTGGCAAATTCCTATTTCATAATCCAAAGTGAGGTAATAAGCCATCTTTTCAGGTTTTGCAAAGTAGGCTTGAAAATACTGGTTTTATGATCTTTTGTTGACCATATAAAGGGAGACAGAGAGACCAAAAGAAGGAAAACTGGATAGGTTGAGAAAGGTTTTTCCTAGAAAAATGTTCAAATTAAGTGAATTTACTAACTTCGGCTCACCCAAGGTAGAGATGGAGCTTCATCCACAGTTTACAGGTATGAGGTGAGGAACTTCATTAGACCAGAATTTAAGTGTTTTCCGTAGTTTGAGAAACGGTGAACTTGTGTCTGAGGCTCAGGCAGAAAGCTCCACCTCTAGCTGATTGTTCTTATCAGAAGCAAAGAAAGGTAATGGTGGCAGGGTCAGTCTGCATGTGCCCAGTATGGTGGCCAAAGATTCAGGAATATTTCCCATGGACTTGGTGTGGACTCTCTAGGAGAATTTGCATAAGATACCTTAGATCCTGCTTAGAGTTGTCTGAAGAGTCAGGAGCTCTCAGCCAATAAGGCATAGAACTAATGGAGGGAAAACAGAACAGTTTTGGGGAGATACATCTGTACTCTTAAAGGAACTTCAGGTGGAAAGCCTCAGCAATTTAGAGGAGGGGTTATCTGAGCAATCTGCAGTGTACCTGAAGCAATCCACAGTGTCAGCACAACCATGGCCTCATGAAACCAAGGGCAGATTGCAAGGGCAAAGATAAAGCAATGCCTTTCCTATACAACCTCAGACCCACACATGTGTGTACACACAAATATAAACACCTCGGCAGTATACACTTTTACCCCCAGAGGAGCCAGCAGCCACAAATGACTTTTCAAATCATAAGATAGTAGTAGACATGAAGTATAGTAATGAATTAGCGAATTTTGAAAAACATGTGTTTTAGAAGATTGGTAATTTAATATAAAAGCAAATCATCAAATTGATTAGATTAATAAGAGAACTGTTGTCCTTTCACATCCATCACAAATAGGTAGGATTTTTGAAAACAGAAAACTTCATGCAATACCCTAAACAATTAATAATGGGAATATAATATAACAGGATTTTTTCTGCCAATCAATTCTGCTGCCAAAAATCTGAATTTGCAATTCCCATTTATTTCCTTAATCATTACAAGAAGTAGCAGGCAGTAAATTTTTAATGGAATTTCTATTTGCTGAAAAATCCCCTGGTCTATGTACAGGAGTACAGCAGAACCATTTACACTGAGATCTGTTTTTATACCCTCAGCAGAAACCAAAGAAGAGGATGATGTAAAAGCCCTTTGAAAAAGGTCAAATATTGCGTATAATGTTCTTGTACTTGCACTAGCTTTCCTTGTGGTGTCAAACTTTTAGTAGCACAAGAGCACTGTCTCCTTCCCAGCAGGAAATGATTTTTGTTCCATGAAATGCAAGTGAATTTCACTGACTCTGAGAAAGTACTTTTTTGATTCAACCATTACCAATTTGAATTGATCTGATTCAATTATGTTTGCTTGGGCACTGCTTACTGATGGGTCAATTGCAGACTCATATCCTAAATATGTGCCACAAATTTTAGCAAATATTGTTTTAAGTTGTTATAAGAGTAGGATTACTAAATGAATAATCATTTAAATTATTTTAGTATAATCCTAGAGTTTTGATATTTTGAGGGTTTATACTCCTGAATAAAGATTTTCTATTCTGCTCCCTTTTTAGGTTTCTGGATGAGCCTGATACACACACACACACACACACACACACACACACATATATATATATATATACAACACTATATATAATTATATATAATTACATTATTTACATATAGTACATGCAATTATGTATATAATTTTACATATAGTTATATTAATAGTTATAATTATTTGTTACTTCTTAGCCTTGTTAGTCAGGTTTATTTTACTACTATATGCTCAAAAATAAAATACAGAAATGAAATTTATTGTGACTAATTTGATTTTATAGTTACTAATTTAAATGGCCTGTGTTCATAAAAGTCTTGTCTTCATTAATGAATTAATTAGTTGTTTTAAATTAGATTTAATGAAATTATTAATATAGAAAACATTTATCAATTCTATTTCAAAGTTTTGTATAAATATATCATTTTTAGAAGCTCCCACTGCTTTCAAAAACTGAAAATTACTAATCTAATTAAAAGTCAAGTAAACACCTTTTTGCCATTCATACTTTAACACTCTGGGCTTATGATCAAATTAATTATCTGTATTTTAATAAAAAGATAGTTAATTCTTGCATTGCTGATTTATAACTTATTAACATAAACACGTGGATTTAGGAACTTATTAATAATACCTGCAAAAATATGTTGGTTAAATATTTTGATAAAATAAGCAATGTTACAGAAGGCAAAATATTTTCATGTGTGTGTTATTTATTGTCAGTTGACATACAAATAGGAAATATTCATTAGAAATGATATCACCTGTTCACTTAAACAATTCCATAAGTTTGATATTCAGACACAATAATAAATGAACAATTCAAATTAAGGAGTCACCAAAGTGATAACAGAATTTCTGAGTTGTTAGATAACTCACAGGATCCAATCTAAGCTCTCATTGAGCAATAGAACATCGGTTGCTGCTAGTTCTAGAGTTCTTGGTGCAATACAAATAAGTAAGTGACTTTGCTGTCAATGAACTTAGATGTAGGAAATGAGGTCTAAACATGTGAAATTTAAGTCAAGATTTAAGTCACACTTGAAAAAGCTACTAAAAACAATGGTCCAAGAGGGTATATCATCAACCGTCAAAATAATTAAACAATCTAAAAGTTCTTTTCAGAGGAGGCCATCTGATCTATCCTATAGATAGTTATATGGAGGAGAGTTCCATATAGATTCTTTAAAACATGCAGTACATCTTTTCAATAATTCATTTTAGCTTTGCTTACCTAGGTGTCTTAGTGGCACTGTATTCCCAGTGATTCAACACACATTTCAGTATATTGTAAGAATTTGTGTGTTGTTCAGAATAACATTAAACTCAGCTAAAAGATCTTTTTTGGTTTATTTGAAAAGAGGAGTCAGGAAAATGTGACTAATTACAGTTTAGATCTGTTTTTGAAGCATGATGTTGTAGTAAATAAGTAGTTGGCAATGACACTGTGAACGTTGTCAGTGTGGTGTTGCAGTGGGGCATGATCGGGTTCTTGTGATCAAGGGTTTTGAGCACAGACTCTTCTTCCAGCCTCTTTGCTCTCTTTTCCTAATTAATGAATTATGATAAAACAACCTCTCTTTCCCTCTTTTTCTTCTTCTTTTCCCATCGTTCACCTCAACCGAAGGAGATTTTGCTGGATTTTTGCAATGTTTCTTCTATTGCCTCTACTTTCTCTTCTTATCTAGTGCTGTTTCATGCAGTATCTATTGTAATTTGTTATCTATTGTTCCTTGCATATCTATTGTAATGGACATGACTATTTTACTGTAGTGTAAAGGAATCTGGGAGTTGAAACTATAACTGGATCTCTTAAGGCACAGTTGTGTATCAGTATACTAAGAATATCTTTCTGAGCTTTGCAAGTTGAACTTCCAGTCACAACCACGTCCCCCTTCCTATTTTGTTCACAAAATAACTGTTTTGTAAATCCACTTTTACTTCCAACATTGCAGTACTCTGTATTAAGAGATTAAGAAATTATTCTTCAAAATATACAAATTTACTATGTAGTCTTAGAAAAGTAAAGAATAGTAGAGGTTGTCTAATCTATCGCTCTAAGTATAAAATGGGATGAGAAAATTCAAACCCAGAGCCAATGATCATAAAGAAGAGCCGTCGGTACC